AAATGAGACTGGTTTGTCAGTTTGCTAGTGGCTAGTGCAGAATTTGATCAGAAGGGAATATGGATTTATATGGGTGTCCCTCCTTTCTTCTGTACATTTCCTTGATATTTAGTTCTAAACAGTAATGATTTTTCTGGCATAGTCCTCTATTTTCAAAACTATGAGGAATCACAAAATTATACAACTTATATGGTCCTCTCAAAGTCTAGTTAGTAATTCTACCATGAGGAACTGATAATAAGGACGCTGTAAACGCCATTCAGCACCAATCTTTTAATTCTCCTTATCTCATCTGGAGAAGTTAAAGAGGAATACTCGTGGTTTGGATTCCTTCTGATGTCTCCTTTATGCTGTTTCCAGAGGACCTCTGGCTCTCTTATCTCCTGGGGACTCATCTATGGGATTTCAACCTATGTTTTTTTCAGTACCTTCATGCAGATTTTCTTCCTGAGACAATTTCTCAGTTATGTGTCGGGCTTCCTGATTTATTCTGAAATCTAAAACCTTAGCAAAGAAGAAGGACTCAACTTTAGTTCCCTTTATCTCTGCATCATTTTCCTTGCCCTTTATTTCCCTTTCTGGAAACAATGACTCCTCTTCTCCATGTTATTGAAGATTCTCTCTCCCCTGAACATCTGTGAGACTATAACACAGTACCCCCACCATGGTACTTTCTGTAGCCTAAATCCAAAAACAGTGAACACAACCCCAAACCATCAGCCTGCTATTTCAGGTTTACTTATTCATGTAATGGAGGCATCTTGACCAGCACGCCCTGAATGGCAGCCTGACATGGGCCTTTTAGACCAATGTGCTAATTTTCTCTGTTTTAGTCTTTTCTATGTGGAACATTGCCTTCAAATGGCATTCCAACTCAGGAATTCAAGTTCCAAATCACTTGCCTTGACTACCTTCTAATACTATAATTCATCATCTCTTGATTCTTGCAACTCTCATCTTTTCTACCTATGCTCTCGTCCCATCCTTTGTCTACCCTTCAGAACTGATGCACAGCATCATCTTCCTGGGTGCCACATTGGTTCAGCCTGTCAATGAGGCTGGTTCTTCCATAGCCATACTGCTTAAGTAACACCTGTCTTCCATCTCCTGGTAGCTTAAGATCTTATTAGGTCAGTGCCGTCTTCTGCACCCAACAGACTTCTCCCTGACCTAGTAAATGAAACTCAGAGTAAAAGATTATGAATTTATAAAAGAACAGCTGGGGCTCTCTTCTTTAGCACAATCAGGATCAGGTAATTTGTCAGTTAATTAAAACTCAGTGGGAGTTGAAGTACTGAACCCACCAGAGAGCAGTCTTCTTGCGACAAGCAAGAAGTAAGAGATAGTACCCTGTGCCTGGGGTACTACCAGTTAAGCTGGTGAGTTAGTAAAGTGGAAGTCGCTTAATAAAGCCTCTACCTGAATCCTTAGTTTCTTTATAATACTCAGCAAAATTTACCTTCTAGCCTAAAACAGAAAATTTAAAAAGTAAGGTTTATGTTAAGCAGTAAACTTAACCTTGTGACATTCGCTAGAGTGGTAAGTTCAGGGAAGTGGCCTCTTCAGAAGCTGTATTCCGCTCATTCATGACCCAGAACACCTTATAAAAATTATCAGTGCCCCTGGCTGAGGCTTTTTGTCAAATGCAGAAGATGTTAAGCACAAAAATTCAAATTCAAATCCCAAAGCAGATGGAACATGAATAATAGAAATCATAGCCTACTAATAATTCAATAATAGCATCTTATGATTAGACCAATTCAGAGCGATAATTGCAACTTGGTACATTATCCGTTCATCTATTTGAAATCTTGGAAGGGACTCTACACAGCACAGTAAGGAGGCTTTGAGAGCCTAAAGCCCTTTCTGTTGTTGTTTGAATGGTGCCAGCCACAGCATGTTTAAACACCACTGTTGCTAGCTGGGTGCCAGTGTGGTTTCACCAGCAAGTGTGGGCAAGGATATTTTTTTTAAAACTGAAAAGGATTGTTTCCAAAGCATGAAATCAACTGCTAAATCTATCCACTTTTAAAAAAATCCTCTATTTATACTTAGTGAATCTGCGCAAAAACCTTGTCACAAACACACTTAACTCCATGGCCTTACTGAGAAACCTCTGCTGGAGGGCTCAGACCTATACTCAAAGCATTAAGTGATCTCTCCACTCCCCTTCCTCCAGTCATCGACAGCCCTAGCCAGTCAACAAATAGATTCTCAGGAGCACACCCAGATGAATCCAAGGCCCTCATAGGAGACCTGTGTGAAGGTAGGCCGCTTAGGAATAATCACCAACTATTTGAAGGGTATTTATCATTAAAGGGCTTTGCTTTTGGAGTTTTGTTTGTTTGTTTGTTTGTTTGTTTGTTTGTTTGTTTGTTTTGTAAAAAGAAAGAAAGAGAGCGGGTTTAGAGATGCAGACTGCCAAATTCATAACTATTTGTATGATTATATATACTAAAACGTATAAATAAGTTGTCCACATAGATCTGCTACTCTCTTCCTAGACCATAACTGGATTGTTTATTTCTTGAGAGTGAGGACATTGCATTCTCATTCTTTGCTCTCATGTTTTAGCTTTCACCAACCTTTGTATAATGCTCTATAGACTACAGCATAGTGAATAAGAGCGAGGACCCTGGAGAAGACTGCCTGAGTTCAAGTCCCAGCCCCTTACCTCCGTGAGCACACTCCATAACACTTCTGTGCTTCACATTCATCAGTCGAATGTATGAGGTTGGTGTCCAAGTGGTTGCAGTCTTTGCCACTGAAAGTGGCTTGAATCAGGTCTGAACTATCTCAACTTCTGAAGAATAATAACTAATAAAAATGGACACTTCTTGAGTACTTACTGTAAATTAACTGACTTAATTCACAAAAACCACGTAACAAAGGTGTATTATGTTATATACACCTATACCAAGTGGAAAACTTAGTAAATCACTTAAAGATGAATGGTGCATAGTAAACTCTTGATTAATATTGGCAATTACTGTTAACTAACTGCTACTTGGCTAGCTTGGCTACCCTATGTATATGAGTGACCCCATGGCCCACTGATTTTGAGAAGAAAGGACCCTAGAATGGAAATGGAAATCTGGTTTCCAGTTAGTAAAATGTATTAGAGTATAGCTAATATGGAGCCATCAAAATTATTTCTCTAGTGTAGATGTGGCAAACTAATGACCACAGGAGAGAGCCTGTGGATCCACAGGTGTCTTTGTGACCAAGTGGAAAATACCTTGATGTAAAAATCAAAATGCCTAAACAAAAAAAAAAATCAAAATGCCTAAACTGTAGTCTAGTTCTTTCCTTAACTAGCTATGCGATTTTGGTGTAATCATTTTATCTCTCTGGACTTCTGGACCTGAATGTTTTCATACATATAGTGAGCAGGTTGATCTAGCAGTGCCACCCAATAGGATTCTCTGCTGTGATGAAAATGTTATGTCTCTGCAATGTTTGGTATGGCAGCCATTAGCCACATGGGGATATATTGAGCACTTAAAACATGATGAGGAACTGCGTTTTTAATTTTAATTTTATTCTTAGCTAATTTAGATGTAAACTTACATAGCTACATATAACAAGTGGCTACTATATTGGGACAGCACAGACAGTATTATCTACGATATTTTCTGATTCTGGCATTCTGTGCTTGACAGAACGTCTCTAGGAAAACCAGTATTGTTACAATGGATCTTAAGAGCTTATCTGATCTTTAGGGTCTGTGACTTTGGAAGGCAAATAAAAGCAAATTTGTAAAGAGACCCTTGAGAAGGACATGGATCTTGAGAAGTTAGGAGTGTGCTTCCTGGAGGCAGGTGAGTACTCTAATGACCCCCAGTGATATTTTCTAAGTCTTTACGTGAATCAGGTTAGAACTATCTCAACTACTGAAGAATAATAGCTAATAAAAACTGATGTTTTTTGAGTACTTACTCTAGATCAACTAACTTAATTCACAAAAACCATATAACATAGGTATATTATCACTCTTGATTTACGACTGAAGAGAGTGAGGCAAGGAAATATTAAATAACTTGTCTCAGGCCATCTAGCTAGAAAGTGGATGAGCCAGGTTATGAACCTAGTCAATGAGCTCCAGAGTCTTGTCTTGTAAAAATCATAAGAAATAACAGCACACTTATAGAACAGTGTTTAAGTCAAAAGTGCGCAGCTTGATTACTTTTTATAAGGTAAATGTGCCCCTACCATTTCCAGAATATTACTAGCATCCCAGAAGCCCTCATTAGGACCCTATTCAGTTAACTGCTCACCCCATTCCAACTAAGGATAACCACTATGCTGATTGCTAACACCACAGATAGCAGAGCTTGTACTTTAACTGCTATGTTGTAGATGCCTAAAGACAGTATTAGAAGATCATGTTCTTTTTTTTTTTTTTTTTTGAGACAGAGTCTAGTCCTGTTGCTCAGGCCGGAGTGCAATACAAACGTACAATCTTGGCTCACTGCAACCACTGCCTCCTGGGTTCAAGCGATTCTCCTGTTTCAGCCTCCCGAGTAGCTAGGATTACAGGCACATGCCACTATGCCCAGCTACTTTTTTTTTTCTTTAGTAGAGATGGGGTTTCACCATGCTGACCAGGCTGGTCTTGAACTTCTGACCTCATGATCCACCCTCCTTGGCCTCCCAAAATGCTGGGATTACAGGCGTGAACCACTGTGCCTAGCTAGAAGATTACATTCTTATAACCAAAAGAGAAAACAAACACATTTGGTGGTCTCAAATAAATAGGTAGTAAAAACAGACAATTCATAGATCAGAGAACTACTCATTCAATTTGATACATATTTATTGAGCATCTACTATGTGAAAAACATTGTGCTAAGCACTGAGTAAATAAATCAATACTAGAAAGACAATCCATAGATCAGATAGCTACTCATTCATTTGATACATATTTATTGAGCATCTACTATGTGATAAGCATTGTGCTAAGCACTTTGTAGACAACATTGATTAAAGCAGGCAGATCTCCTGCTCCATAAAGCTTTTAATCCTTGGTCCAGTTTAATCAACTAATGGGTGGCTAAGAGAGTAGAAGAAGATTACTCAGTGATCTTGGTGGTGGCAGACTGCCATAGTAGTGGTGGTCAACAGCCATAGTGACGGTGCCGAAGTGGTGCTGGTGCTCCAGAGAGGAGTTGCCCGGGCTCTGGTCTCTAGAATTTTAGCAGAATGTCCTTCAAGTCTCCTGGAATTTTGGAAAGGTGACAATTAGAGCTAATCACATGACGTTCCACTAAAAGCAATTTTATAAACAATTTCCGAATGCTATCTCTATAAGCAATAACTTAAGAAAAGTCTACAAGCTTAATGTAACCAGAGAGATTAAAACATGAGATGGGAGATGTGGGGATATTGCATGAAATAGGAAAAAAATTCAAAAGACCACCAGGGAACTCTACCTCAGCTAATGAGGAATGATTGCTCTCTGCTGACAAGCAACTGACCCACTCTAACTAATATTTTCCAGAGTAATAAAGAGGCTGATGCAAGACAGTGAAGTGTCCAGGGGTATTTCCCAACAAATTCTGGGAGATACAAAAGCAAAGAGACCAATGACAGTTAAAAAAAAAAAAAAAAAAGAAGCAGCTTCTCTGAGCTACTGTGAATTGAGCTACTTCCATCACATGTGACCCAGTCATGCCTTATGCCTGGGGAGACTTTAGTAACTGCTCTCTTATAGTTCAGGGAGAATGCAGATGGAAGTTGAGTTTTAAATGTATCAGCAGCTTGCTTTTTCCAAAGTTGACTTGATCTCTCCCTTGAAATGCATATGCTAATATGACCCCTGGGAATTGTGCAAACCTACCAACACACCACAAGGTCAGCTGTTTAGACATTGTTGAATTTCCTTAATGCTGAGAAAATAGCATGGGAGCCCTGCAGGAAACGTGCCATCACTGTGTTTCTCTTATCTGAGCTCAGTTCTCACACTAGCTGGAGCTCTTGCGTCTACTGTACAATGAAAACATACTGTGGGAACAACTGAAATTGCATCTCAGGGGAGGAGAAGGGTGCATTTTCTCCTATTACCCAACTCCATGCTATCCAACCAGTCTCGCCCATCCTTATGTCAAATCCTCCTGGCTAATGGAGCATGAGAAGCCTTAAGTGCCTCGATCTATTTATTGTAAACTGTGAAAGGGTGTAAGCCGTAAATAGGACTTCTAATCATGGAAAGCTGAGAGGAGCTGTGCAAAGGGCTTGCAGGAAAACCCAAGTCTGGAGAGCACAGCTAGTGTATGATGAACTGCAAGAGTGGCCCCAGGTCTTTTCCTATAAACAAGCAACAGGCAGACCCCTAGGAGCTTTGCAGCACCAACAAGGAGCAGCGAGGCCTGAGCGGTGAGTCTGCATAGCTCAGGAAGTTCTGACTCTATGATGAAAAGACTGAGCAACAGAAAAGCCGTGCTTCCAAATGGAAAAGTCTGCAATCTAAATCCTTTCCTCTCATTTTTTTCTCACCAGGACTTCAGCTTGAATTCAGTAGGACCTGGCAATCTTTCCACTCAGGTCTTGCTCCTTGACAAACACAGTGTAAAAACTGATGCTTAGGCTTTAAACTATGTGGAGCACACCCAAGGCTACATTGTAAAAAGCAAAGGTCTGCACAATGACCTGCTTCCCGGAGCCCTTGCAATAGTGGTTGGGAAGGTCTCAGAGCCAGCAAAATGATCATTTCTGCCTCTGTGGCTGAGGGATGGTGCTGCAAATGTGTGCTCTCTTAGGTTTCACTTCCTTCTGCCAAGATTACTCTGCCCTGCACTCTGTTCTTTTCTTCAAGGGATTGGGGGCTAGACCATTCACTCATTCACTCAGCAAATATTTATTATTTGCTATGTGTCAGGCGCTGTTTTAGGTGCAGTGCACAAGACAGACAAAATTGCTCCCTTCAAGAAGCTTCCATTCTAACAAGAGAGAAGGACAAAGACAAATAAGTAAATGCGTAGTTTAATATTAGGCAGTGATAAGTGGCGTGCCGAAAAATACAGTAAGCTGCAAGGACAGAGAGTAATTGTTAGATAAGGTGGTCTGAGATAATCCCTCTCATAGAACCCAGGCCTAATGATGTGAGCAAACCGTGTGGACACCTGGGGGAAAAATGTCCCAAATAATGGAAATAGCACATGCAAAGGCTAATAGGTGGGAACATGCTTGGCATTCAGGAGGAATAGCAAGACCAGTCCTCATGAGAAGCTCTAGGGAAAATAATAAAAGATGATGTCAGAGACGTAGGCAAGTGCCTGATCATGTAGGACTCTGGTATGGACTTTGCATTTTATTCTAGGAGGATGGGAAGCCATTTGAGCATGGTCGAGATATCATCTGTATTGCAAAACTTTGTGACTGTCAGTGGCTCTACCCACAGAATAAGACTGAGAGCCGAAGTTTTAACTGGAGAATAGACAGCCAGAGCAGGGTACGACAAGTCATAATGACCACAGCAATTCCAATGATGAAAGCTCAGTATGACAGCCAGACCAGGAGCATTCTGTGATCCAATATCCTATTCTCTGCCTTTTTTTAGAAAAGGGCCTAGTTGCCACTATTAGGATATAGAAAGACAACGGAGAGATATCATGTCTGTACCTGACTGGCTCCAGGTCCCTCCTTGCCGTGCGCAGCTAGTGTCTGCCTCCCCGCTTTCCTTGCCTGTTCTTCCCACGTACACCTGAGGCTCCTATCACAGTGAATTATATATCTTCCGCGACTGCATTATTTCTCCCTTCCTGGAATGTGCTCATTCTTCTGCCTAGAGTGACATTTTCTGCCTCATATGCCTGAGGAAACACCCACTTGTCCTTGAAGAGTCAACTTAAATAGTATCTCGTCTGTGAAGGATGTGCAGTATTTCTGCTAACGTGTCACACTCCATTGAAGTACAGACAGGTGACGCTGAATAAGAATAAATAATGCAGACTTGGGTGAAAATGCATCAATTCCTTTAAAAACATTCTTTGTTGAGGTCAAGGAGATATCACACGCCCGTGTTAAAAGAAGTAGGTCACCCTGAAGGGAATATACGCTCCTAGTGTTATTCATTGGGGTGTAGGTAACTTCTAGGGGAGGAGGAGGCACACCAGAGTGGGAAAAGGACTTTTAGGGGCTGGAAGACATTGGCTAGACAGTCAGGCATGTCTGGATAGAGCTGATTGACTCTGGTCACTGTGATTAGGCAGGAAGCAATTATGTATCGGGGTTGGTGTGACAGTTCTGTCCCTGCTTAAAGTGAATTGGCAAAAGGAGCACTGTTTCTGCTCTCCTGAGGTGAGCATTGCAGGGAAGGGTGCTCTAGCAATGAGGAAGACACAGAAAGCAGAGGTGAACAGCCACCTGCAGGTGGATAATCACCCACTAAAGGATGTGTGCTTCCACTGAATGAGACATGTTAAATAGAGGAGCTGCCCCGCATTGTGGACAGTCTTTGCTTGAGAAGAAGAAAGCTATTATAGCCTAACAAGTGGCAATCCATTGTTTCTTACAACCAAACTGAAATTAAAACCAAAGAAGCTCCCTAAGTAAGCCCAAACCTGTTAAAATTCCAAAAAGGCAACTAAACTTGGAACTTCCCCGATTCCATGCAGCAGCCGAAAGATCATAATTACTAGTTTGATAACTGGGAGGAATACTGTACATCTGTTTAAAAGACACAAGTCTGAGTCCCCGGTTGTGCCATCATTTGATTGTGATGACTGGCAAGTCACTTCACCACTCTGAACCTCAATATCCTACCTAAAAGAAAGATAATGATAGTTAACTTGCAATGCTGCTGTGAGAATTAAATAAAACGATGTATGTGAAATAACTTTGTATAGAACGTGACACGAATAGAAGTAATTTAATAATACATTTCTGTTATTAGAACTGCAATGGAATCAGCAGTATGTTTATATTGCTGTGTTGTTATTGCTAAAGAATGTAGTCAAGTTCAACGCACTGAAATGTACGCAGGGATGTACATTCTAATCAACATGTATAAAATATAAACTAAATCAACATATATTTTATATATATATATATATATATATATATATAAATTGTTTTCTTAATGTCATGTGTCGGAGCTGTGGCAAATGCAGAATGCTGGGGGAAGCCTGTAAGAGTAAATCACATTTTTAAATAATTCATTGACTTTCACATTTTGCTTTCCAAATGCTGCCTCAAAATGTTGGGTTAAAAAAAATGGCCATCTAGGTTTGGTAAAATCATCTAGACAAAAGAAAAGGCCTTTTTGGGCATAACAAGATCAGAAACTATAAATATAAAGATGGATAGATTTGATGACATAAAAATTCTGAATGTCAACAGAGCAAGAACCAAGCAAATAAATTAAAGCACAGTTGAAAGACAGATTACAAACTGGGATAAAATGTAGCATATGGGAAAGATAAAGTATTAAATTCCTTAATTTATAAATTTTTAAATAAAAAATTATGAACAAGCCAACGGAAAAAAGTTACAAGTAAAGATAATTTATCAGATAAGAAGCACAAATGACCAATAAGAAAGAATGTCTAATCTCCTCAGTGATTAAAGGAGAGTAAACTAAAATAATAAGATGCTATTTTTCATTTATCAGATGGGCAAAGGTTTAAAAGAATGCTAATACCCATTTTTGGCGAGGTTATAGGAAGTGGGCATTCTCATAAACTGTGGTGGGAATTAATTTTGGTACAAACTTTCTGGAGGGCAATTTGGCCAGACCCTTAAAAATCTAAAATATGCAAACCCTTTGACCCAACCACTCCAATTTAGAAATTTATTGTAAAGAAATGAGACAAATGAACAAGATGTCTCTACGAAGTTATTTCTCATGAAGTTGTTTATTACAGGAAATTGCAAACACCTTAAATATCCAGGGGATTAATTGCATAAGCGATAGAATGTACACACAGTGAGACATTAAAAACAATGATGTAGTCATAGTTACTGACATGAAGAGATATCCTTAATTTAAAAACAAAAAAAATTATGATACAGTAAAAAATATCAATCTGGTGATTGCTAGCGGGTGGTATTTGGGGTGCTAGTCTCTAAAATTTTCTCGATTGGTTTATTTATGTTTTGATTATAGCAAGTATATCATAATAACTACTTTTACATTAAAAGAAATAAAAGGAATTTCTAAAATAGTTTTTTTAAAGCAGTATTTCTTCTCACAAAGATTGTTTTACAACATTTTAAGTATGACTTCCTTTTTTCTCAGTAGATTCCAATGGAGACATGCTCTAGACTATTCCAACACAATAGTCTCTTGGGGAGAGCTTGATTTGTTTTCATCCTCACAGTCTGATGTGCTGACATAAAAGCTGAAACAAAAACTTAATGAATCATCCTCCCCCTAATCCTTCCCTAGGAATTCTTGCTTCCTTCTCAAATACTTTTCCACTGCTAGGACAAACCTCAGCTCTAAATCAAATACCGCAACTGCATGGAATATGCTTTTGCACAAGGCTCCTGGTCTCTTCTCTAGCTTTTGCCTGCCTTTCTCTGAGGCAACCAAAGGTCCAAGCCTGGAGTTACCTTGTTCTAAAACAGCAGTGTAATTCCATTTTTAAAAAATCAATCAATTCAGTGAAAAACCTGTTCAGTCCTAGAGAGATTACTTAATATAACAGAGAAAACATAGCATACTATTGAAGCATCTAGGTTCTAGAGCAAGACTGCATGGATTTAAATTCCGATTTTACTTTCTAGTTAACTTGCAAGGCTAACTTTAGCTAACTACTTTTTTTTTTATAATTTTAAATTTTATTATATAGGTTTTCTCAATAACTTCCCAATACAAACCAAAAAACACCAATCATTCCCAAAAACCACAGATACATAGTTGGGTCTAGAACTTCGAAGGCAGAGAACTATTAACTTGAAAGAGTTTAATTATGAATTGGTACTGTATTTCTGAAAACATTGGTGATACTGAAATAACACGCCAGTAGACAGGACCAATATGATCCTGGCAAAATGCTCATCTCACTGTTCAAGCAGCAATATTTCCTTTTACAGATGTTCTGAGGAACAATGCTTAAAATTATACCAGGATTTAAAATATCATTTTAATAAAGTATATATAAAGTGTACATGAAAAGGGGAAATATGAAATCAGGCAAAATCTTTTGACTTTTGGTATCTTTATAATTCCCCAATTATCAGGGGATGAAATATTTTTCTAGAAAAAATAAAATGATTATTTTATTTCCTATGGTGCTTTATGTATCAGAGTCACTTGCAGATTCTGGTCTGCTGTCATCTGGCCCATCACTTTCCTTTTCCCAGTCTTTCACAGAGGCTCTCATCATGAAATCATCACGGAGGATTGTCCAACCTGGGCCCTCTTCTGACTTTACTTCAGTCTGTTTGGCTTTTGGTTTCTTCTTGCTTGAGGTAGTCTCATTTGTACTTTCATCCATTCCTCTCAAAACACTGATAAAATCTGTCTTGGAAACAGTTGATATCAACTTAGTTCGCTTTCTAATAGAGCTTCCAGGTTCTTTAACCTTCTCATCAACATTCTTTTGATGCTTCTGAACAGCATTGAATAATTGTACCACACCTCTCGTTGCAATTCTCTGAAGGTTTCTCTCTGTCTCCTTGTCTTGGACAACATCTGGCTTTACTCTGCACATCATTTCCCACTCCATCCTCCTATCACACTGTTTTATTTTCTCTTGTCTTTCTTGCTTTAACTTTTCTTTTTCCTTTTCCAGCTTCTTATTTTTGACCAGAATAGTAGGTTTACTTTCAGGAGTTTTCTTGTCGAGGACTTTAGCCATGGCATCTGCCCAGCCCATATTGGTCCCAATATTTGATTCTGCGTCAGCTTCATTGTCTTCGTCACAGGGCTCAGCATCACCCTCATTGTCAGCTTCTATTGCTTCCTCATCAGAATAAAAGTAGTCATATTCTGATCCACAGCTTCCTATTATAGATCCTCCTACTATAGAACCTTCGCTATCGGAAGTGTCTGTGTCTTCCTCTTCCAGCACCGACGCTACGGCTCCGGCTGCCATTTTCATCATCTTCTTTGGGGTCTTTTTCAGATTTTCCTCCGCACTTACACATGAGTCCAGAATGGCGGCTGTCATTTTTCCCAGCTAACTACTTTTAAGCCTCCATTTCCCTATCTATAACATGAGCATATAATGTCTTCTTCACAGGATTATTGTGAAGATCAAAAGAGAAATCATATGTAAAGCATTTAGTGCAGTGCCTCACAATGCTAGTCATTAACATTATCATTTGTTTTAATTACCTGTTGTGTAACTATTGTAGTTTCTGTAGTTCAGGAATCTGGGGGTGGTTTAGCTGGGTGTTCTGGCTCTGGGTCACTCACAAGGCTGTAACCAAAGTCTCAGCTGAGACTACAGTCATTTCATGGGTAACTTTCAAGCTCAGTCAAGAGGTATTGGCAAGACTCAGTTCCTTTTGGGCGGCTGGACCGAGGGTCTCAGTTCCGTGCCTTGTGGGCCTCTCCACATGGCAGCTCACAACTTGGAAGCCTGCTTCATCAGAGTGAACCAGGAGTTAAGAGCATGCAAACAAGGTGGAAATCACAGCTTTCATAACTGAATCTTGGATGTGACTATACATCATGCTTGCCATATCCGATTCCTTAGAAATAAGTCACTGGGGCCCACTGCACACAATGGGAAAGGATTACACAAGGGAGGGAACCCAAGAAGGTAGGAATTATCAGGACCATTGTAGAAATGCCCTACCATATCATTATCCAAGTTTTCCAGGAAAATACGAACTTTTGAGAACTACGTTACATGATTTTGTAGGCTTTTATAAATCCAAACAAATTGCAAAGTGTCCAGTTGGAGCTAATGGGTCATTGTATCTGAATTCTTATCTATGCTAATATGGTGATGAGTAGTTCACAGAGAAACTCCCAGTAAACAAAACAGTGGGTACTATAGGAGTCCCCAACCCCCAGGCCATGGACTGGTACTGGTCATTCACAAGCTCACATTCCTGCCTGAGCTCCACCTCCTATCAGATCTGCAATGGCATTAGATTCTCATAAGAGTATGAACCATATTGTGAACTGTGCATGCAAGGGATCTAGGCTGTACACTCCTTATCAGAAACTAATGCCTGATGATCTTTCACTGCCTCCCATTGCCCTCGGATGGGACGATCTAGCTGCAGGAAAACAAGATCAGGGCTCCCACTGATTCTACATTATGGTGAATTATGCAATTATTTCATTATATATTGCAGAGTAATAACAATATAAATAAAGTGCTCAATAAATATAATACACTTTAATCATCCTGAAACCATCCCCCAGCCTAGTCCGTGGAAAAATTATCTTCCATGAAACCAGTCCCTGGTGCCAAAAAGGTTGGGGATTGCTGCCATAGAAATCTTCTCTGGTACTTATATTATAAAAGCAAAAGGGTTTTTCATTTGTTTTCCAAATAAAACCCAACAGCCTACCCTTGAATACATGTCTCAGCCAACTCTTGAAGGAATTAGATGCCATCAAGCTCTCAGAGTCACCTTCCTCTGAGTACAAAGGAAGGTAACCCTGTACATATGGTTCATTCAAGGCATAGTTAGTCTCTTACTGTCTTCTAGCTCCTAAGTGTCTCAGGGCTGTTGTTTTAGCTTCACAATTCACTCCAGGTTTTTAGTACCCCTATTTTCTTTGCTCATCAAAGTACCAGAGAGATTTTCTGTTACTTGATTTCAGAAAGCAATTCGGTTCTTCCTGAGTTTCTCAATTCTCTTTCCAGATCACAGAGGCAATTCTTTCCCTTTTCCTTTACAATGACCTAAATTAAAAGTGTTCATGGAGTAGAAAAAGTTAATTTTTCTCTGAATTGATTTATTAGATTCAATGCATTGCAAATCAAAATCCCAGGAAGTTTTTTAAAAATATAAGTTGATAAGATAGTATATTAGGCCATTCTTGCATTGCTATAAAGAAATACCTGAGTCTGGGTAGTTTATTTTAAAAAATTTAATTGGCTCACAGTTCTGCAGGCATAGTGGCGTCTGCTACTTGGGAGGCCTCAGGAAGCTTCCAATCATGGCAGAAGGAAAAGGGGGAGTAGGCACATCACATAGCTAAAGCAGGAGAAAGAGAGAAAGGTATGTGTCGGGGGTGCTACACACTTTCAAATGGCCATATCTCACTAGAATTCACTGTCATAAAGACAACACCTGAGTCATGAGGAATTTACACTCATGTTCCAAACACCTCCCACCAGGCCCTCCAGCACTGAAAATTATATTTCAATGTGAGATGTGGGCAGGGACAAATATCCCAACTATATCATTCCATTCCTGGCCTCTCCCAGCTCTCATGCCATTCTTACATTGCAAAGTACAATCAAACCTTTTCAACAGTTCCCCCAAATCTAACACATTCCAGCATTAACTCAAAAGTCCAAAGTCTCATCTGAGACAAGGCAAATTCCTTCTACCTATAAGCCTTTAAAGTCGAAAGCAAGTGAGTCACTACCAAGATCCAATCGAGATATAGGCATTAGGTAAATATTCTCATTCCAAAAGGGAGAAATTGGCCAAAAGAAAGGATCTAAAGGCCCCATGCAAGTTCAAAACCCAGCAGGGCAGTTATTAAAATTTAAAGCTCCAAAATAATCTCCTTTGACTTCATGTCTCACATCTAGGTCACACTGGTGCAAGGGATCAGCTCCCAAGTCCCTGGGAAGCTCCATCCCTGTGGTTTTGCAGGGTTCAGCTCTGGTAGCTGCTCTCACAGTTGCTGAGTGTTTGCAGCTTTTTCAGGTACAGGGTGCAAGCTGCTGGCGGATCTGTCATTCTCATGTCTAGAGGACAGTGGCCCCTTTCCCACAGCCCCACTAGGCAGTAACCCAGAGGGGACTCTGTGTGGGGGCCCCAATCCCATGTTTCCCATTGGCATTGCCCTACTAGAGATTTTCTGTGAGGACTCTTCCCTTGCTAGAGGCTTCTGGTCTGAACACCCAGGCTTTTCCATACATCCTCTGACATCTAGGTGGAAGCTCCCAAGCCTCCTTCACTTTTGCATTCTGTGCACCTGCAGGCTTAACACCACATGGAAGCCACCAACACTTATGGTTCCACCCTCTGAAGCAGCAGCCTGAGCTGTACGCATCAGGAGCCCTTTGAGCCATGGCTCAAGCTGGAGTGACTAGGATGTCGGGAGCAATATCCTGAGGCTGCACAGGGCAGTGGGGTCCTGCGTCTGGGCCACAAAACCATTCTTCCCTCCTACACTTTCAGACTTGTGATGGCAAAGGCTGACACAAAGTCTCTGCAATGCTTTCAAGGTCTTCTCCACATTGTCTTGGCTAGTAGAACTTGACTCACTTTTAGTAATGCAAATTTCTCTAGCAAGTGGTTGTTCTACAGCCTGCTTGAATCCCTGTCCCAAGAAAAGCTTTTTCTTTTTCTGCCACAGGCTACAAATTTTCCAAACTTATACACTCTGTTCCCCATTTAAATATAAGTTCCAACTTTAAGTCATTCCTTTACTTCCACACCTGGGCATAGGCGGTTAAAAGCAGGCAGGCCACATGCTGAACACTTTGCTGCTAAGAAATTTATTCTACCAGATACCCTAGGTCATCATTCTGAATCTCAAATTACCATAGACTCCCTAGGGCATGAACAGAATGCAGCCAAGCTCTTCACTCAGGCATAACATGTGTGACCTTTGCTCCAGTTCCCAATAAGTTCCGCATTTCAATCTGAGACCTCCTCACCCTGGACTTCACTGTCCATATAACTATTAGAAGTTTGATCACAGCCAACCATTTAACCAATCCGTAAGAAGTTTCAAACTTTCCCTCATCTTCCTGTCTTCCGCTGAGCCCTCCAAACTCTTTAACCTCTGCCTGTTACCCAGTTCCAAGGATGCTTTCACATTCTCAGATATCTTTATAGCAATGCCCCACTCCTCAGTATCAATTTTCTATATTTGGCCATTCTTGCATTGCTATAAAGAAATACCTGAGACGGTGTAATTTATTTAAAAAAGAGGTTTAATTGGGTTATGGTTCTGCAGGCTGTACAGAAATCATATCAGCATCTGCCTCTGAGGAGGCCTTAGGAAGCTTCCAATCATGGCATAAGGCAAAGGGAGAACAAGCACATCACATGGCAAAAGCAGGAGCAAGAGACAGAGAAAGAGAGAGAGTGAGTGGGAGGTGACACACACTTTTAAATGACTAGATCTCATGAGAATTCACCATTATGTAGAAAGCATCAACCCATGAGGAATTCACCCCCATGACCCAAACACCTCCCACCAGGCCCCACCTCTAGCACTGGGGATTACAATTCAACATGAGATTTGGGCAGGGACAAATATCCAAACTATATCAGATGGTTCTAAATTTATATGGAAATATAAGAACTAGAATGGCCACAGTAATCTTTGAAAAAGAAACAAAGTTGGAGAATTTAAACTACCAGATTTCCAAAATTACTGCAAACCAACCCATAGTAATTAAGGTGCTGTGGTATTGTAACCAAGATAGACTAAAAGATCCGAGGGAAAAAAGAGAAAGAGGAGAGAAATAGATACACATATACAGTCATGCACTGCTTAAGAACATTTTGGTCAATGACAGACTGCATATATGATGGTGATCCCATAAGTTTATAATGGAGCTAAAAAGTTCCTATTGCCTAGAGACATCATAGTGCAGCATGTTATGCACAGATTTGTGGAGATGCTGGTGTAAACAAACCTACTATACTGCAAGTCTTATAAAATTATAGTACAGGACACGCAAGGTGGCTCACACCTGTAATCCCAGCACTTTGGGAAGGCCGAGGCAGGAGCATTTCTTGAGCTCAGGAATTCAAATCCAACTTGGGAAACGTAGTGAGACCCTGTCTCTACAAAACAATTTTTTAAATTAGCCAGGTGTGGTGACATACACCTGTGGTCCCAGCTATTCAGGAGGCTGAAGTGGGAGGATCACTTGAGCTCAGGAGGCAGAGGCTGCAGCGAAAGTATAGTACATGCAATTATGACACTACATAATATTTGATAATGAAAATAAATGACTGTGTTACAGGTATATGCATTTACTATACTAAACTTTTTAATCTTTAATTTACAGTGTACTCCTACTTAATTAAAAAGTTAACTGTAAAATAGTCTCAGGCAAGACCTTCAGGAGGTATTCCAAAAGACATTATTATCACAGGAGATGACAATTCCATGCATGTCATTGCTCCTGAAGGCCTTCTAGTGGGACAAGATATGGAGGTGGAAGATAGTGATGTTGATGATCCTGACCTTGTGTAGCCGTAAGCTAACGTGTGTGTTTGGATCTTAGTTTGTAACAAAAAAATTTTTAAAGCAAAAAAAAAAAAAACAACCCAGCCCCTTTTTAATAGAAAAAAAGTTTATAGAAAAAGAATATAAGGAAAATATTTTTCTACAGCTATATGATGTGTTTTAAGCTAATTTTTTTCACAAAAGAGTCAAAAATTTCTAAAAATTCAAAAGTTTATAAAGTAAAAGATTACAGTAAGCTAAAGTTAACTTGATGGAAACTTTTTAAAGAAATTGAGTGTAGTCTAAATGTGCAGTGTTATAATGTCTACAATAATATACAGTAGTGTGCTGGACCTTCATACTCACTCACCAGTCACTTACTGACTCACCCAGAGCAATATCCAGTTCTGTAAGCTCTATTCCTATAAGTGCCTTGTACAAGTGTGCCATTTTTTATTTGTATAATGCGTGTGTATATATATATAGAGAGAGTCTCGCTCTGTCTCCAGGCTGGAGTGCAGTGGCATGATCTTCGCTCAATGCAACCTCCGCCTGCCGGGCTCAAGCAATTCCCCTGCCTCGGCCTCCTGAGTAGCATTTTCTATGATGAGATATACAAATATTTACTATTGTGTTACGATCGCCTACAGTATTCAGTAGAGTGCCATGCTATACAGGTTTGTGGCCTAGGAGCAATAGGCTGTTCCATATAGCTTAGGTGTAGCAGGCTAGGTTTGTAAGTACACTCTATGACGTTGGCACAAGGATGAAATCACCTAACAATACATTTCTCAGGACGTATCCCTGTCAGGTGATGCATGACTGTATACAGATATCGATTTTCAACAAAGCCACTAATAAAAATCAATGAGGAAAGGAAGGTCTTTATATTAGGTTGGTGCAAAAGAAATTGTGGTCTTTGCAATTTGAAGTAATGGCAAAAATTGCAATTACTTTTGCACCAACCTAAATAAATGATCGTGGGAACAGCTGGATATTCAAATGGAAAACAACGAACCTTGACCTCTTACTCACATCACATCAAAAATTAATTTGAGATAGACATAAACATGAAAGCTAAAACAATAAAACTTCTAAAAGAAAACATGAAAATATCTTCACTAGCTTGAAACAGGAAAAGAGTTCTTAGACACTAAAACATTAATTACAAAAGAAAAACTGATAAATAATACTTAAAACAAATTCACAATCTCTGCTTATCAAAAGACACTAAGGGAAAAGATAGGCCATAGACTAAGAACACATTTACAATAAAATATCTAACAAAGGTGTATCTATTCCATCAATCATACTTCTGTCTGAAATCTATCATATTATTCCAGATATGATATCTGAAATCCAGTAGTTTAAGTTCTCCATGATAAATATCAGGAATATATTTTTAAAATTAGTAATAAAAAGATGAGCAACCCAGCTTCAATATGGGCAAAATGCCCAAATAAGCACTTCACAAAAAGTAGTATATAAATAGTCAATAAAGTTATTAAAAAAAATGCTCAATATTATTAGTCATCATTGTAATGCACATGAAAACCACAATGAGATATCACAACACACACACCAGAATGGTCACAGAAAAAAGACAATATCAAGTATTGTCAAGGATGTGAAGTAAGTGGAAATGACATACATTGCTAGTGGGAATGAGACTGTTGCAATTACCTTGAAAACATGTTTGGTGATTTCTAATTAAGTTAAATAAACACCATCAACTCCTTGACCTGGCAATTCTACTATTAGATGTACAATCATGATACATGAATACATATGCCCACAAAAGACTTGTATAACAATGCTCATGAAAACTATATTTATAATAGTAAAAAGGTAGAAATAGCACAAATGTTTATCAATAGGAGACTGGACA